TTTCTATATATTTTTAGTTGTCCAATTAATTTCTTTCTAATTTTAGTAGAGATGGGGTCTCGCTCTTGCTCAGGCTGGTTTCAAACTCCTGAGCTCAAACAATCCGCCCGCCTCGGCCTCCCAGAGAGCTAGGATTACAGGCGTGAGCCACTGCGCCCGGCCTTAACCATTTTTTTGAAACAGGGTCTTGCTCTGTCACCCAGGCTAGATTGCAGTGGCCTTGTCATAGCTCACAGCAACCTCCAACTCCTGGGCTCAAGCAACCCTTCTGCCTCAGCCTCCCGAGTAGCTGGGACTACAGTCATGCGCCACCACGCCTGCCTAATTTTTTATGTATATTTTTTTAGTTGTTCAGCTAATTTCTTTCTATTTTTTTTTAGTAGAGACAGGGTCTCGTTCTTGCTCAGGCTGGTCTCAAACTCCTGAGCTCAAATGATCCGCCCACCTTGGCCTCCCAGAGCGTTAGGATTACAGGCGTGAGCCACCACACCCAGCCAGCCTCAAGCAATCCTCTTGCCTCAGCCTCCCAAGTGGATAGGACTACAGGTGTGTGCCACCATGCCTAACTAATTTTTCTATTTTTAGTAGAGATAGGGTCTTGTTCTCACTCAGGCTGGTCTTGAACTCCTGGCCTCAAGCGATCCTCCCACCTCAGCCTCCCAAAGTGCTAGGATTACAGGCCTGAGCCACCACATCCAGCCTATTTTAACCATTTTTTAAGGATACAATTCAATGGCAATAATTACATTCACAATTGTTGTGCAACCATCATCACTATCACTTCCAAAGCTTTTCCATCACCCAAACAGAAACTCTTAATAGCTATGAAGCAGTAACTCCCAATTTCCTGTACCCCTGATCCACTGGTAACCTCTAATCTACTTTCTATGAATTTGTGTATTCTAGACGTTTAAAGTAAGTGGAAATATATAATATTTGTCCTTTTGTGAATCACTTATCTCACTTACACAATATTTTCAAGGTTTACCTGTATTGTAGCATGTATTAGAATTTCATTCCTTTTTAAGGCTAAATAATATTTCATTGTACAAATATACCACATTTTGTTTATCCATTCCATCTATGGCTATTATAAATAATGATGTTATGAACATTGGAATACAAAAAAGGGTTATATATGGAATAAAACTAGATTCCTATTTCTCACCATATACAAAAACCAAGTCAAAATGTATTAAAGACTTAAATCCAAGACCTGAAACTATAAAACTACTAGAAGAAAACACTGGGGAAACACTCCAGGACATTGTTCTGGGCAAAGATTTTCTTGTGTAAGACCTTAAAAGCACAGGCAACCAAAACAAAAACAGATAAATGGGATTTCATCAAGCTAAAAAGCTTCAGCACAGCAAAGGAAATAATCAACAAAGAGATAAAACACAGAAGGGGAAAAAATATTGGTAAACTACGTATCTGACAAGGGATTAATAACCAGAATATTCAAGGAACTCAAGCAACTCAACAGCAAAAAGACCAAATAATCCTATTTAAAAATGGACAAATGATCTGAATAGACATTTCTCAAAAGAAGACATACAAATGGCCAACAGGCATATGAAAAGATTCTCAATATCACTAATCATCAGGGAAATGCGAATCAAAACTACAATGAGATATCATCTTACCCCACTTAAAGTGGGTATTATCAAAAAGACAAAAATAACAGATGCTGGCAAGAATGCAGAGAAAGGGAAATGCTAGTACACTGCTGGTGAGAATATAAATTAGTACAGCTATTATGACAAACAGTATGGAGGTTCCTCAAAAAACTAAAAATAGAGCTACAATATGATCCAGTAATCCCACTGCTGGGCATATATCCACAAGAAAGGAAGTCAGCAGATCAAAGAGATATATGCATGCCCATGTTCACTGCAGCACTTTCACAGTAGTGAAGATACGAAATCAACCTAAGTGTCCATCAACAGATGAATGGATAAAGAAAATGTGGTATATACACACAATAAAATATTACTCGGCCATAAAAAAAAGAATGACACCTTACCATTTGCAGCAATGTGGATGGAAGTGGAAGCCATTATGTTAAATGAAATAAGCCAGGCACAGAAAGACAAATATTGTATGTTCTCACTCTCACATGGGTGCCAAAAAAGTTCATCTTATGGAAGCAGAGGGTAGAATGGTGGTTACCAGAGGTTGGAAGGGTGAGGGGCAGATAAAAAGACATTGGTTAATGTGTACAAAAATACAGTTAGATAGAAGGAATAAGTTACAGTGTTAGATAGCACAGTAGCGTGACTGTGCTAGATAGCTAGAGGAGAAGATTTGAAATGCTCCCAATACAAAGAAATGCTAAATGCTTGAGGTGATGGATATCCTAATTACCTTGATTTGATCATTACACACTGCATGTATGTCAAATATATGCACCAATTATTAATAAAAAATAATAAAATTAAAAAATATATTTGAAAATGGGATATAAATTAATATCTAAAAAAAGATCAAAAGTGATTCAAATAGAAAGAGGAAATTCAAAATAGCCTATAACTATTAAATAAGTTGAACCAACAGCTAAAAAAATATCTCCACAAATAAAACAATAAAATCTAATGATTTTACAGGAGAGAGCTACCAAGTACTTGAGGTTCAGGTAATTCTAATCTCCAGAGATAAGAAAGAGAGAAAATTCCTCAAATTATAACTATTAAAGGTTATTTTAACCTTGCTATCAACTGTTTTTTCTTTTGAGATGGAGTCTCACTATGCTGCCAAGGCTGGCCTGGAACTCCTGGGCTCAAGTGATCCTCCCACCTCAGCTTCCTGTATAGCTGAGACTACCAGTGCAACCCACCGTGCCCTATTTTAACCTTAATATCAAAATCGTAACAAGGATAGGAAAGGAAAATTATCAGACATTCTCACTCATGAAACAGATAAAAAATTCTAGCCAAAATATTAGCAAACTGAACCCAATAATACGTAAAGTAAGAAAATAAAACATAATGCCCAAGTTGGGTTTATCCCAGGAATGTAAACGATTTACAGGCCCTGGCTTTTGCAATATGGTGAATGGTGGTGCTGTTCACTGAGAAAGGAAGCACAGGAGTTTGGGGCTAAGGTCACAAGAAGGACTAGGCACCACATGCAGGGAGCTTGTAAATATCCAGGTAGAGATGTCTAGGCAGAAACCGAGTATAAAGGTCTGGAGACAGAGCACGAGAATCACCAAGACAGATGTGGTACCACGAGTCCTACGAGTGGGATGGGATTACCCAGGGAAACTGTGCGGAGAGAATAGAGAAGAGGAGGACCAGGCCTGAATTCTAAGCAAGCCAAGTGTTTAAGGAAGAGGATTCCTTAAAAGCACTGGCCAGAGAATCCGGGAAAGAAAAATTGGAAAAGCAAGAAAGTGACTCAAGTCACGCAATGAGAAGAAGGGGACTGAAGAATCCAGTCACTGGAGCCCACTATGACAGGGCGACTTCAGGATGTGGTGAGGGAAGCCAGACTGCTGTGAGCTGATATGTGACCAGATAAGAGGAAATAAGAATAGAGGGTGTGGCCTACGCTTACAAGAAGACTGGCTGAGGAGGAAGCAGAGAGTGTGTAAAACAAAGGGAAAAAAGCTGATTTAGAGGATTAACAAATTTGTAGACCATGGAGACAGGAAAAGGAGAGAGAGCGTGGTGAGAAAGAAGTACAACATAGTTCTTGTCCTCCACATTCCAGAAAGGAGATTTACTGTTCTTTAGTCACAGTTCCAAGGCATTCTAACTAATTAGTGATGACTCGCTTCAGAAGTTGATCATGTTCTGAAAGTGGGCAAATGGCAACAGCCCAGTCCAGTGACCACACTTTCGTGGCTAATGGTGAACTAGTTCCTGAAAGCCCACCCATCCTTGACCTCCAAATTCACCCGAAGTGAAGGAAGTAAGAAGTGGGAAGTATTGAGGCAAGGCCTCAGAAGACACGAGTATAAAAAGCTCAAACGGGCCGGGCGCAGTGGCTCACACCTGTAATCCTAGCACTCTGGGAGGCCGAGGCGGGCGGATTGTTTGAGCTCAGGAGTTCGACACCACCCTGAGCAAGAGCGAGACCCCGTCTCTACTAACAAAATAGAAAGAAATTATCTGGACAACTAAAAATATATAGAAAAAATTAGCTGGGCATGGTGGTGCATGCCGGTAGTCCCAGCTACTCGGGAGGCTGAGGCAGTAGGATCGCTTGAGCCCAGGAGTTTGAGGTTGCTGTGAGCTAGGCTGACGCCACGGCACTCACTCTAGCCAGGGCAACAGAGTGAGACTCTGTCTCAAAAAAAAAAAAAAAAGCTCAAACGGGGCTGTGGGTCTTTGACAAGAGGCAGTGCACTGGCCCTGTGGGAAAAGAGGAAAGCGGCAGGCTGACAACAGCAGGGGCTGCAGCAGCAGCAACAACTACCTTTTGCGTCATCTGCACAGGGAATCTGAGACTTGGAGAGGCTACACGATTTATGTAAGAGCCAGGAATCAAACTACGTCTATCTTACTGCAAGGCCCACACTCCTCAACATAATTTCACACTGCCTTCCATTACACTCCATTTATCCTCCTCTAAACTCTGACAGCACTTTTGGGATCTTCTCATTCGTCCACACCCTGGCTTTCGCTGGTTATACATGTGTTAGTTTCACTTATACCCACCTTACTCTCTCCAGAATTGAGCGCTTTCTGTAGCCCTACAGGGTTTTATATGGCAAGTGCTCAACAAAGAAATGAATACATTTGTAATTACCAAATTTGTTATATGTCAACTTGCTTTTAAAAATGCTTATAAATTTCCTTCAGAAGTGATATAAACCATCCCCAATACAATCTTCTTTACAGTTGCATGTGCTTAGCATTCCTTTGCCATAGATGTTCCAAAGGCAAAGCAACATCGCACATTACATTTACCACAAGTTCCAAATTAGCGAATTTAGTCTTCACCACAGAGATTTCACCATCTTTGCAGGTATGAGACCAAAAAGCACTTCTTACCTGAATTTTGATGGGCCAGGTGAAATTACTGACATAAACAAAGAATGTGATATTTGGGTGGTTGCGAAAATCAAACTTCTCATTAGAGAAGCTATCTTTGTACTCCTTAATGTTGGTTTTTGAAACAACTGGCATCTCTTCTCCAGCCTGGGTTCCAGCTGTTAGAAAGAAAAGAATGACACAGAAGAGACATTTTTTTTTAACAGAATCTGCTCTCATTAATAATAAGGATAATAGTTAGCATTTACTGAATTCTTACTGTCTTCCAAGAACAGCCTTCAAGAGCTCAATCTCACTGAATCGTCACAGCAATGCTATTATTATCCTCAGTTACAGGTTAGGAAACTAAGTTTCAGAGAAACTAATTAACTTGCCTTAGGTCACACAGCCAGCAAGAAATGGAGCTGGGACCTAAAGCTGGGCAAGATGACACACAAGCCTGTGCCCCTAACCAGAATGGTTTTACCAGGAACCCGTGTGACTCCCCGTTGGCCACCCCACCGAAACAGGTTAAACAGAGATACCACTAGAATGCTATTAGCAGGCACTGGCATTCACTCTGCCCATAACACTTCAGTTCCTGTGCACTTCTCTTTTACAGCTCTCGACAATGCTCCAGACTCCCACAGGGACACTCATTCACCCCTCACGTCCTATCCAGCAGTGGCCTCAACTCTCAACAGGAATAGGGAGGAGGGGCTCAAGGGGTCACTCAATCCCCCTTCTACCACTAGCTACAACTGTATTAAAGTCTCCCAATCTGGTATAACTCTACCTATTCCCAGACAGCCCTTCAACACTCCATATTTTCCCTCAGCCAGGAATACAAGTGTCTATAAAGACTCATGAAATGGACTTTTTTTCCACATCTGAGTTAGACCCTGTGACTACAGCCCAGACTATAATACCTTTAGTGAGACACTCATTGCAAATCTTTCACATGCATAGAGCCATTGCCTTTCTTCAGAAAACTACTCTGATAATTGGACTTTTTCTTAAAAATCTCTCCTCATTGCAAGTTTGTGAACTTCTTCCGAATTCTACACAGTCTTTGAAGACAAGATAAACATAAAATGACATCAAAAGGCAATATTGTTATTTTGCTCCTGTCTAATTGGTTTGTTTTGACAAAAAACATCAGTGTTGCAACAGTAGTAACAATGATGAAACGTGGCTACCATTTAGTGAGAATTTATCATGTTTCAGTGAGACTTTACCATGTTTCACGCATTACATTGTGTAATTCATTTATTATCTCATTTAATCTTTGCAACATTCTACATAGCTAGGTGTTTTTACTATCCCACTTCACACATGAGGAAACTGGCTCAGAAAGCTTAAGTAACTTCCCCAAAGTGCAAGAAAATAAGAAGCAGAATTCAAATTCGATCTATCTGTTGAGTTATCAAGTAGTGGTTATCTGTTTTAACCACTATATCAAGGTCATCCTTTATTTCTTTAGTAGATTTTCTACCTGGCAGATCTTCAGTGAATTACAGTAAGACAAACAAGATAGCTAAAGCTATAATTTTAGAGCTTGATTTAATTCCTGAAGTACATTTCTCTATACCTACTAAAATCTCACTTTATTTAAAATGTTTTCATTTCTTGAAACTCTGAGTCATTTGAATTTTTTGCTTCTTAAGCACGGATGTAGATGATAATGGCAGTGGCCACAGCAAGGGTACAAGAGGTGGCAGTAGGGTAGGGGCAGTAACCAAGCAGAGTCTGACACCTTGGTGAGCTCTGGCAGGTATAACCCAATTTAATCTACACAACAATTCTAGGAGGTAAATATTGTAATCCTCACTCTACAGTTGAATAATCCTAAGGTCTAGAGAGGGGTTTAGGTGCTTGCTCAAGATCTCATAGCTAATAAGTAATAACAAAAGGTAGCAAAAGGTGCATTTCAAATCAATCTGTCTGTCTCCAGAGCCCCTTTCTCAATTCCTATAGTACATTTTTTAATCTATCACCTCCACTTCGAGAGTCTTCTCTAGGTGTGTCATTACCTGAGAAGCTGGCAGCCCACGTGATGTTGAGGTTGAAGTTTTTGGAGGCGTTGATGAACATGTCCAAATCCCTGTTTTGCTGATGAGAGGTGTAAATAATTAGAAAATTAATTATAATAGTTTTCAGATTTTATTTATTTACTTTTTTTGAGACAAAGTCTCACTCTGTCACCCCGATAGAGTGCAGTGGCATCATCATAGCTCACTGCAACCTCCAACTCCTGGGCTCAAGTGATCCTCCTGGATAGGTGAGACTACAGGTGAGTGCCACCACACCCAGCTAATTTTTTTTTTTTTTTAATTAGAGACAAGGACTCACTATGTTGCCCAGGCTGGTCTCAAACTCCTGGGCTCAAGTGATCTTCCTGCCTCA